AGCACTTTTCCTTGGCAAAAAATTATTATGGTGTATAAATTTTGTGTGCTTGGAGAGAGAAATGTCAAACTTTGCAATTTGCAGCTGCACAATGGATATTCTACCTAAACGATAGCCTAGATAAATACTTTGTGCATAAATAAAACTGGGTGATGAATACATCCTGGTGGAGTATTGATGGCATAGTCATTCAACAAATATTTGAGCATCTTCTATGTGCCCATCACCACATAAAGAATTTTTTTAACGTAAATTAAAAAGACAAGACACTCTTGTGTCTGGCACACAGTAGTCCCTCTAATAATAGCATTTGAGCGAGTCAGTGAACAAATTAAACATCCTCATAGCTTGTGACAAGTCAAAAACTCAGACGAGATCTCTGAAATAAAAGGGTTTGTTGTGCTGTTTCAGAGGCTGGCCAACACTGAGTCCCAGGACAGGCAGTTTCTGCTTCGCCGGCAGCAAGGCCAATGAACAAAAACAACTTGTCCGCCAGACCCAGGAAACAGGGCACATTCATAAGTGGTCTCAAGGAAAGAAAGTTGTTAAAGTTTACATTGGCTACAGATGAAGTGGGCCAAGGGGAAGTCTGGGGATGGGTGCTTACTCCACGGAGAAGGCTCGAGGTTGGTTGCTGGAGGATGGTCAGGGACTGTTCACCAGGAAGGATGTGTTGGTTCTGGGGGCCTTCCAGGTAATTGGTGAGAGGACTTCATTCAGGAACATGGGGCCTCTGGTTAGCTACAGCCCGCGGCTATAAACTTACCAGCCTCCCTTATCTCTCTCCCCCATTCTCTGGTTCTTTTGTCCCTTAATTTTAGAGCATCTCAGAATCTTTCCTTATGACTTGTAAAAACAATCTGTAGAAAACAAAATACTTGTACAGGTGCGTGATGGTTTTATGGCATGTCCATTTGGTTGAGCTAAACTACAAGGTCAGAGGGGAGGACAGCAGTCTTTCATATCACACACCCTGCTGCTCCCAGTTAGTCAAACACTATGTGCTGTTGTGAGATTGTGCAGATGCAATTCAAGTCCCTGGGAAACAGATGTTAATCTAGGGAGATTATCTGGGTGGGCCCGATTCAATCAGTGGAAGTCCTTTAAAAAGATTTAGGCAGATCCCAGTTTGAAAAAGACAGATGCACCCCTATGTTTATGGCAGCACTATTTACAATAGCCAAGATAAGGAAGCAACCTAAGTGTCCATCAGTAGATGAATGGATAAAGAAGATGTGGTACATATACACAATGGAATATTATTCAGCCATAAAAAGAAAGCAAATCCTACCATTTGCAACATGGATGGAGCTAGAGGGTATTAAGCTCAGTGAAATAAGCCAGGTGGAGAAAGACAAGTACCAAATGATTTCCCTCATTTGCCTCATTGGAGTATAACAACAAGCAAAACTGAAGGAACAAAACAGCAGCAGACTCACAGACTCCACAAAGGGACTGTTACCAAAGGGAAGGGTTTGGGGAGGGTGGATGTGGAGGGAGGGAGGGGGAAAGGGTTCAAGGGCATTATAATTAGCACTCACAATATAGGTAGGTCACGGGAAGGCAGTATAGCACAGAAAAGGCAAGTAATGACTCTATACCATCTTACTACACTGATGGACAGTGATTGCAATGGGTTTGGGGGAACTTGATAATATGGATGAATGTTGAAACCACAATGTTGCTCATGTGAAACCTTCATAAGATTGTATATCAATGATCCCTTAATTAAAAAAAAAAGATTTAGGCATGCTGAGTCAGATTCCAAATAGCACTAGGTCTACAAATGCTCTCTGCTCTCTGGATCTTTCCTTCCTGACAGCCTGTCCTATAGACCTTGGACTTGCTTAACCAACCCCCACAACTGCATAAGCCAATTCCATACATACATATAACTACATATAGGAGATTATATATATATAATCTACTGGTTCTGCTTCCCTCATTAAACTAATACAATGTATCTTTTTTAAGTTTTATGTAGGTATAATTTACATACTATAAAATTCACCATTTCAAAATACATAATTCAGTGATTTTTTTGAGTAAATATGTAGAATTGTACAACCATTACCAAGATCCAGATCTAAAATACTTCCATCTCTGCAAAAATACATATATGCAGTCAACCCATTTAATTTCTGTATGTGGTGAGAGGTACAGATCCAAGTGGTTTTTTTTTTTGCATATAGGCATGCTGAGTCAGATTTTTTTTTTGCATTTAGGCATGCTGAGTCAGATTCCAAATAGCACTAGGTCTACAAATGCTCTCCCCTCTCTGGATCTTTCCTTCCTGACAGCCTGTCCTGTCAGGAAGGTTTGGTGGTTGCCCACCAGAGGCAGAAGGAGCAAACAGGTAGGGTGGTGGAGGAAGTGGGAGAAAAAGGTTAAAAACTTCCAGTTGTAAGATAATCAAGTTCTGGGGATGTAATGTACAGCATGGTAACAAGTTGACCTTTGAACAATGCAGGGGTTAGAGGCACCAATCCCATGCTGTCAAAAATCTGAATATCACTTCTGACTCCCCCAAAACTTAACTACTAATAGTCTACTGTTGACCAGAAGTCTCACAGATAACAGTCGATTAACACATATTCTGTACTGAATTCTTATAATAAAGCTAGCGAAAGCAAAATTAAAATCATAAGATATTTACAATACTGTACTGTATCAATGCTACAAGATGAATTGTCTGTCAGTACCTTCATCAATATTGTCTTTTATGATACAAAACACTGTAGATGTTATGAGCTCAAGGAAATAGCAACAGTGAGGTGTCTACAAAATTATTATAGTATAGTACATTCTATAGTTAGTTTTATGCAATTATAATATAATACTGCATCTTTACATTTATTTACATTTCTTTCAACTGAAAATGGCACCACATAGGGTCTTGTGTGCGTTTTGATAAATTTTAACTTTTTATAATAGTTTTGTGTATGTTTTATGGTTGTAAATGGCAAGAGGCTGGTGTCTACATTTATTTTATGCATCCCTGACATACCTTTCTCTTAATTTTTTCAATATTTTTAGGCTACATGATCCATCTGCATGAAACTTTTTCAAACTGTCACAAATTTCAAAAAATGTTTCCAATATAATTATTGAAAAAAATCCGTTTAACTGTATCTATGTAGTTCAAATCCACATTGTTCAAGGGTCAACTGTAGTTAACAATGCTGTTATATATTTGAAAATTGCCAAAGAGAGTAGATCTTAAAAGCTCTCTTTACAAGAAAAAAACTGTTATTACAGGAAGTGATGGGTGCTAAAATTAATTTATTGTGGCTATCATTTCGCACTATGTTGTACACCACGGACAAATAAAACGTCAAATGTCAATTATAATAAAACTAGAAAAAAATAGATCAGTTCTTTAAATAAAAAACAAATGGAAATTATTAGATTTTGAATCTGTAAGGAAGTCTACCCTGAAATAACATCAGCAGGTATTACTCAAAATTTCTGAGTACTATTACTAAAAACTACAGTATCATATTGACCTTAAGTTAAAAAAGTATTAATGATATAGGCTATTAACTACTGATGTTATTAACCAAAGTGAAGGTAATCCGGAGAAACTAGTCTTTACCTGCTATCTTTCCAGATCTATGTGTAACAAGAGTAATTCCATCAACGGTTAAGTTTGCATTAGTGGAAGTTAGCTTGTGTTTCTTGTATGGCCTAAGAATCGATGAATAAAATGATTTCTGCTAGCCGCTTCTCCTTTTGGCATCAGCATAGTGTTGGTTCAATCTTAAAATCTCAAATTTTATTTATATAATAATGTATATAATTTACATATATAATTCCAATATAATTTAGCCTCATAAAAAAATAGCTTCCAACACATATACTATGCATTCTTTTCAAATCTGCTCAGTTAAAATTAAACTTTCTGTGGGAAGTTTTGACACTTTCAGACATCTGAAAAAACAAAAGGTAGTGAAAAGAAATTACTGAAATAGGGGTTTCCTACATTTCTATTTGTGAAAGTAAGGGTATATATTCATAAATGTGCTTAAGAGTCGGTGGAGTGATCCCTTATTTTCACGATAGGTGTTATTTTCCTCTTTCAAAAAAAATCAATGTATCAGTAACAAGAAAAAGCGAAAAGAATCACCTTGCCAAATGCTTGTTGGAAGGTGAGAACAGGAAGAGACATTTCAAAGGATCGCAAAATTCATCTTTCTTTTAGAACACAGTTCCCAAGTCTTGTTTTACTAATGGAAAACCAGGGAAAAGGGTATGGCTTATTACTAATAAATAAACATTTTAGTTGCAGGATAAGGGAAAGGGGATATAGAGAGCATCCGTCTAGAGAAGCGACTTTTCAAGCTGTTCTTTGAATCCACAAGGTCTTTTTTTTTTCTTCAGTTAATCACAGAATATTGGTTATATTCAACAAAAATATCACTGTTAAAATACTTTCTTCATCTGGCTTTCAGTGAAGCCACGCTTCATCTCCTTCCTACTCACAGCTATTCTCAGTCTCCTGTCACTGAGCTACGTCAATGGGATTTAATCTCTGTGGACCTCACCTCTGTAAAAGATAGTTTTAGCATCGTCAGCGCTCATTAAGGTGAATGATTACGTATTGTTAGTTGCGATAAACGACCACAATGGCTCAGCTCCGCACGTCGGCGCTGGCCCGGCCCGAGGCGAACCCACCACACCTCGCAGGAGGAGCAGCGTGTTTGGCCCACAGAACACGAGAATATCAGCGTCACTCCCGGAAAAGCTCCAGCCAGCTCTTCAGGGAAGCGGAAGCCGCGACACAGCCCCAGCCACTTCCGGCGTGGCGCACAGTCCCTTCCGCCCCTTAACTGCACTTTCGACAAAACCCAAGAGTGACATTTCCCTCTGGTACTCGTGTAATTTCTTCACTTTTACCCTCTTTATGAGTCGAGTTTGGAGATAGAAAATCTTGGAGGGATTAGGGGCAGGAGTGGGTATGGAAAAAAGAAGCTGGTGAGGGGGGCTGGCGAAAATGCGTGGCGGGAGCACCGTACGCTTTCTCCTCGCCGGCCGGAAGTTGTGGGACTGAATGGGTCCCGGAGCCGGCGCTTGCGGTTTCTCTGTTCTGACCTGACTCTTCGCTGCCCGACCGGCGGTCTCGTCAGCTGCTGGGCTACCAGGTTCATGTGGAGGCTCCCAGGCGCCCGCGCCGCGCTTCGTGGGGTCCGCGCGGTACTGGAACGGCACAGTCAGGCCGAGGCGGCGACTGAGACGGCGTCGGGTGCGATGGAGCGAGCGGTAGTGCGTTGTGTGCCCTCGGAGCCTAAGCTAAGCCTGTCGTTCGCGCTGTCCGACGGCAGCCACAAGAACATGCAGCGCGACCAGAGCGAGCCGCTGGGTCGAGCCCTCAGCCGGATCGCTACCAACGCCCTGAAAGGCCACGCTAAGGCGGCCGCCGCCAAGAAGAGCAGGAAGAACCGGCCAAATGCTAGCGGCGGCGTGGCCTGTGCGGGACCCGGGCCGGAGCCGGCTGCGGCCTGCGAGCCCGTGGTGAAACTGTACTACCGGGAGGAGGCAGTGGCCGAAGACGTGCTCAATGTGGACGCCTGGCAGGACGGCGCGGTGCTGCAGATCGGCGATGTCAAATACAAGGTGGAGCGCAACCCGCCCGCCTTCACCGAGCTGCAGTTGCCACGCTACATCATGGCCGGCTTCCCGGTGTGCCCCAGGCTCAGCCTCGAATTTGGGGATCCCTCCAGTTCCCTTTTCCGCTGGTACAAGGAAGCCAAACCCGGAACGGCGGAGCCCGAGGGCGGGGGGCCCTCTTCTTTGTCTCCTAATTCGCCCTCTCCTAGTTGGACAGATACAGGTGTAGATGAGCGCGTCTACACCCCCTCTAATGCCGACATCGGGCTACGGCTCAAGCTTCATTGTACCCCAGGCAATGGGCAGCGCTTCGGGCCAAGCCGGGAGTTGGAAAGTGTGTGTATAGTGGAGGCCGGGCCCGGCACCTGCACCTTTGACCACCGGCATCTCTACACCAAGAAGGTGACTGATGATGCTCTAATCCGCACTGTCTCCTACAACATCCTGGCGGACACGTACGCGCAGACTGAGTTCTCGCGGACGGTCCTGTACCCGTACTGTGCTCCTTACGCCCTGGAGCTCGACTACCGTCAGAACCTTATACAAAAGGAACTCACGGGGTACAACGCCGACCTCATCTGTTTGCAGGAGGTTGACCGCAACGTGTTTACGGACAGTTTGATGCCAGCCCTTGAGGCCTTTGGGCTGGAGGGCGTGTTTCGAATCAAGCAGCACGAAGGCCTGGCCACTTTCTACCGAAAGTCCAAGTTCAGCCTCCTTAGCCAGCATGACATTTCTTTCCATGAAGCCTTGGAGTCCGACCCACTTCACAAGGAACTGCTGGAGAAACTAGTTTTGTACCCATTGGCGCAGGAGAGGGTGCTCCAGAGATCATCTGTCCTTCAGGTAAACTAGCTCTGCCAGTCTTTCCACATACTCGTCCATTTTTAGGGCCCTGGACGGGGAGGGGTGGGGGTGCTTATAATTGAGATGAAACAATCCAGATTTTACTGAAAGGTATGTACTGTTCTATCTTCCAACAAATTTCAGCATTTATTCACCGAGCATCTCGTGTGCCAGCCATGCTGCAGGTGGCCATGAACATGACAAACGGCCTTCCATGGCATTTAGAATCTAGTGGAGGAGACACATACTAAATATAACAGCTAGTAATGTTCTACTTGTCAAACACTGTTCTGACATTCTAAAATGCTCAGAGTTTAACTGCCTGGCACGTTTTAGGAAGTGCTCCACAAATACTGGCCACCGATTTTAATTTCTGGCTCATAGTAGTCCTGCTATTCCCATTTTATAGATGTTATTCTTCCCATTTTATAAATGGGATAATGATCAGGGTTACTTATTCAAGTTCACACAAATATGGAGCCAGGATAATCCAGTTTAGTTATATATTCCATTACTGAGCAGGATGCTAACCCCTTCATAGTTTAAGCCATCTTAGTTTTTAAAAACATTACATTGTGCCTGTGGAGTTTTTAGGTAATTGGTTTTAGTATCAAGAGTAGATACCATATTTTTGAACACCTGCTGTTTCATGCACCTCTGTGTAAGCTTATTTAATTGAATCTACATGATAGTTTCCCTTGAGGTGGATGACACTTTTTTACCAATGACAGAGGTGGTTTAGAAAAAAAAGTCTCTCTCCAGGTCACACTGCTGTAAATGATAGAGTGGGCATTCACAGCTGGTTTGGCCTGACTCCAACACCTGCCTGTGCCTACCCATTTAAAAAATACTGTCTCCAACCTTAGGGTCACCATCCAGAATGTATTCTTTTCTTAATAGCTGTCTTGTGTTGGGTATCTTATGCTTAGTCCTATTCATGTATATCCTGAGAGTTATAACAAAAGTTAAATTCTGTAATTGCAATTACACTTCACCAGTAAACGAAGGATATAAAATAAAATGTCAGGTCACCATATAGCGTTAGGTTAAAAAACATTCCAGAGATTGACAGGCAGCAATTGAACTCTTGGCTCTTTATTTAGGTTTCTGTTCTTCAGTCATCAAAGGACTCTTCAAAAAAGATATGTGTTGCTAATACCCATCTCTACTGGCATCCAAAAGGTAAGTTTTATTGACTTTGGAAGGTGATTTAAAAATGGTAATTTAAGGTCAGTATTTTGTAGTTTTATTGAGGTATAGATGTACAGCTCTGTCCAAGTTTAAGGTGCCTGATAGCATGATTTAACTTACATATATTGCAAAATGATCACTGTTAAGCTTAGCTAACATCCATCACCCCATAAAGATATTAAAAGTTCTTTTTTCCTTATGAGAACTTTTGGGATCTGCTCTCCTGACCTTCATATATACCACACAGCAGTGTTAACGATACTCACCAGGTTGTATGTGACATTCCTGGCACTTACGGGTTTTTTTCAACCTCTTGATCACCTTCATTCAATCGCCCTCCCAAATTTAGATCCTGAATGCCACCCAGATACTGTACTTTGTGAGCTTGTTTTTAACTTTTAAGGCAGCTTTAGAAAGTACTTACATTATGTTTATGTCCACAGGTGGGTACATTCGTCTCATTCAAATGGCTGTAGCCTTGACTCACATTAGACATGTCTCCTGTGATCTGTATCCTGGCATACCAGTTGTATTTTGTGGGGACTTTAACAGCACCCCATCAACAGGAATGTATCATTTTGTCGTCAGTGGCAACATTCCAGAGGGTCATGAAGACTGGGCTTCCAACGGGGAAGTGGAACGATGCAACATGGCTCTTACCCATTTCCTCAAACTGAGAAGTGCTTGTGGGGAGCCCGCTTACACAAATTATGTTGGTGGCTTTCATGGCTGTCTGGACTACATTTTCCTTGACTTAAATGCTCTAGAGGTTGAACAGGTGATTCCATTACCTAGTCATGAAGAAGTCACCACCCATCAGGCCTTACCTAGTGTTTCCCATCCTTCTGATCACATAGCACTTGTATGTGACTTAAAATGGAAAGAGATTTGTGTTTAATGGAATTTAAGTCTGTTTTAATACTAAATTTACTATGAATCAAAGCTTATGTGTAACCTTCAGAAACGAAAACTAGACAGTAAGGTAAACTGTTTACCAGTTATATTCTAGTGTCTTCATTACATGACTATTCATAATGTTTGCATAATACAGTTTCTCTACCCTTTTTCTTCCCAACACTTGCAGGAAAAACAAATATATTTATGAAAGGAAAAACACTGAATTACTGTGTATATAAAGTACTTTTTTTTTTAGCTAGTAATTAAGAATTTTGTTAAAAAAAACATTTGATCCTATAATTTTTCTATCATGACATATTTCAAATTGAATCATGCTTATATCATTAGGGGGAAAATACAATTTTAAGGTGAGAGGCCTAAGTTCTGGCCCTTGTAGTCACATTCAGGTCTATCTCTACCTCAGTTTGGTTTGGTCAGCAATTTAATACAACTTCAGAACTTTAACAAAAGATTAAAGTACACCATTACCAATTTTATTGCTTCTCATCTTTCATTTTTCAATTAATATATTTTCGCTATTTTTAGGATTTAGATTTTAGAGTAGGGCACAAATGGACATATTCACTGTTACTGCAGCTTGTTCTAACCTTAGGATGCAAGCAGAATTTAGTATTTAAAGTGAATAGCAACATAGTCGATTTGATTCGATTGTCTTTATTCTTCCCCATGAAAAATGTTCATAAATCAATAGGATTTTTGACCATGTAGTAGAGAATACAGTATAGCACATTATGAGAAGCTGTCTACTATCTGATATGGGCTTGAAATTTTGAATGAACCATTGAGCGTTTCTATGCTAGTATTTTCAAAACAGTTGGTTTTTATAAATAGGGAGCAGTGGGGCTTTTGACCATCTCTGAAATAAATTAGTCTTTTTATAGCCTTGAGTGTCAGTTTGAGTTATAAGAAAACATTGTATATATAATTTATACACTATGAAAAACTTAACTATGAAGCCAAACTTTTTTAAAATTAAAAATTACTTTTAGTGGTGTCTAACCTGTAGAAAATTGAGCTTTTCTAAGTCATTTTTCACCACGTTATTATGTTGTAGCTGTTGTATTTCTGATGTTCAGAATAACCATAATGTTCTCTCACATTTCTGCATTTAATTTCTAGCTTAAATATTAGATGCCCATCCACTTCAGGAAGAGCTCTGGAAAGACTTTGTCCCAAATTCTTAAATCTCCCAACCCCGTACCTTCAGAATTTCTTCATTTTTTGATAAAGTAGCCTGTACTTTCATACTCTGCTCACTACCCAATATATTGACTTTTAATTTATTGAGTTTGAGAATAAGGTTTCACCTGCACTTCCAATTGAATCTTGAAGTACTTAGAAGTACATGAAGGAAAAAATTTAGGTGGCAGTTTTTTTGGATCTTTAGAAAAAGCTATAAATGAAAAACTGCTGCTAGGTCTCCCTAAATAACATTTGTGAGAGCATTTTGATACCAGTTTACAAATATATAATATATTAAAGCCAGAATCTGTTTCTTTCAAATATTTTTTCTTCCTTATTAAAATTTGTTTTTGGTCTGCTTTCAAACAAACACGTTAACATTCTTACAATAACCTGAGAGAGAACAAAAAGTGTGTAAGCAAAAAATTGAGAAACATTTTCAAAGAAAAAATTATAACATGACATAATCACTCATGCCCATGAGAAAAGAAAAACACACATCCTTATACCATGGCTAGCTAGACTGAACTCTGGTCAGAAAAGCTCTAAGCACTTAACATTCAATGTCCTCAATCTTTAAATCTGGTATTTGCTGATTAAACAGTATGATCACTGTATACAAGCATTTCAGAATAGAATACAGATTATCGTTATGAAGTGACGTATAGTCTGGTCAAATCTCCAGTATGTTAGTATAATTGGAGTCCAAAGGTAGGGAACACAAAATTGTATAAATAGCATACCAAAATTTCCTTGTATTCATGAGTTAAGATAAAGTGTTACTCAGAAATGTTTACGTATTTAAAGTAATCTTTGTGATTGAATTTTTCTATTACATTTGCATTTGGATTTTTTTAGTACATTTAATTTTAATAAAATACGGACAGTCTGGCAGCTTTCTACGGTGAACCACATTTTGTAATGTCATGACTTCTTGCTGTAGGAATTAACATTCCAAAATTTTACATTTTTGATTATAAGTGACAGAATTATACTACACATTCTATGAAATGAATGCTACACAGTTGCCACTGACAGACACTGGTAGTTCATAACTCACTAGCAAACAAATCATTTCTGCCACAATGTGATTATCTTTAAAATTTTTATTACTATAGTTAGTTTAAAATTTCCAGGAATTTTACTGATTTTGCTGAAAGGACTTAAGGCCTGATAATCATCAGAATGTGGTGGTTTTAGTCTGGAGGTAGCTCTCTAAGGAACAGAGGGGGAGAGGGTCCAAAGAACAACACTGTGGGAAGATCTCCCTGGTGGGAACTCATGTTTGGATCACATTCTCCAGCTATGAAATACAGGTAGAGGTTCCCTAAAAACTAGTCCGGTTGAGACAAAACCAAAATTCATAATGAAGGTAAAAATTTTTGCTGCTTTTATCAAAAAACCCACAAGACAATAAAAATGCAATCAACCACGGTCTTGTGACTGGCTTATTTCACTTACACTTTAAGGTTCTTCCATGTTGTATCTATCAGCACTGTTTTTATAATGAATATTATTCCATTGTATGGACATACCACATTTTATCCATTCATCAGTCGGACACTTGGATTGCTTCCACTTTTTGGATTCTATGATTAATACTGTTCATTTGTGTCTTAAGTTTTTGAGTGGACATATCTTCATGCCTCTTGGGCATCTATCTATCTGGAAGTACAGTTGCTGGGTCAAATGTTTAACCAGAGATGTTTTAACCTTTTGAGGAACTGCCAGACTGTTTTCAAAGCAGTTGTACCACCCATTGTGTATGAAGATTCCAATTTCTCTACATCACCATCTTAATTATTATCTCATTACAGTGTGAAGGGACATCTCACTGTGGTTTTGATTTCCATTTCTGAGATGGCTAATGATGTTGAGCATCCTGTTTTGGGCCTATTGGCCACTTCCGTATTTTTGAGCCCATTTTAAAAATTGAGGTTGTTTTTTTAGAGTACCCCATTCCCATTTTAAAAACCATCATCCCTTACCTTTTCAGGACTATCCATGAGGCAGATCTCACGCAGGCTGTGCTTACTACATCCCCATTAACTGAATGGCCCTCAACCCAGCCTAAAAAAAAACATGACTCATCAGAGTACTGGTCAGTCCTGAGCTAGCTTCCTGCCTGCAGATGGCAATGCTAAACCCCACACACCGAGTACTACTTAGATGCCCAACATAAGTGAAAGCAAAGCATGAGAACACTACAGAAATCCCCAAAGTCAGGAAGGTGACTGACTCTTACACTGTCCTTTAGAACACAGAGGACCTTGCAGGCATCTACTAACTAGTACAGCTGCTGTAACTATTTACCTGAGTCCAGATGATTACTTTTGCTATTAATTTCTCACAGAAAAACATACTACTAGAATATGACCACAAATGTTTTGTATGGTTTATAGAAGTAACTAAGATAAAGGGATATTTGTCTAAAATTAACACAGAAACAAAAGGAGCCCAGTGACCTCCTAATCTTGGTAACTTCAAGTTAGGCACCTGAATAGTGTCACAATGTACACGCTAGAAATTTATTGAGAATGTGTTTGAGCCTGGAGTAAATTTTAGAACCAAGTCCTAATCAATTCCATGCTTCTACTAATGAAGACTTTAAAGTAAAATATTAAGATTACTTTAATGAGATTAATCATGTAAAGCTAGTACTTCATTCCTAACATTTTCCTAAAAATAACTAAGGTGGTAATATATATAAATGTCATGTGGGAAAAGTTCCTGTTGTGCCAATACTAATACCAATACTAACTGATACTAACTGCTGATCCTTGGAAAACTGCTGGTGGTAGATTATTTCTAATCACTTTCTCAGAATCCGACCTTCTGATTAAGTAATCAGACTCTTGAACTGAAGCATTGTTTCCCTATGTCAGATCTTCAGATAATGTCCTTACATATATGCACACTATTCACTCTTTATTGTTAAATCTACATTTTCATATTATTCTACCAAAGTTGGACTTCTACATTACTGAAACATCTAACATGCCATCAGGAAGCATAAGCACTTGTTTCCAACGACAAGTCAGAAGTCACTTTCACCTCAACGACTGAGAACCAAAACTTCCACATTTAAGAAAGTTTCATCTGAGACTTCTGGTTTCTGGTTTGGCATGTCAGGAAAAAGCTTGGAAGTTGCCACTCTGTCCTAACAAGAAGTAGAAAAAAGCCAAACTGAAAAATCCACTATTCTTAGGTCCATAAGAGAAATGTCATAGGTTGGCAAACCAGTGCCCCAAAACTGAACAGACCAACACCCGAATACAGAGAATTACAACTCAAAGGAACAGAAACCTCTGCAGTGAGCAGTGCCAGGGTAGGGAAACCTGAACCGGTAACTTTGTGTTACTCCCTCATCTCCACCAGCTTCTCAGTCAATACTGGAGAAAAAAATCCCCTCATGCTTCTGGCAGCGGGAGGGGAAAAGGAATGATTTGGAAACATGCCAGAGCACTCTTAGCAAGTCTGTCCACAAGAGAAACTGACCAGAACCTAACTTACAGGGTAGTTTGACCAGAGCCTAACTGACCAGGGGGAGGGGAAACACCCAGCTCTATGCTAGCCATCCTGTCCCATCCCACCTACCAGGGACGAAAAACAAATTGAGAAGCACATGTGAAGTTCACAGTCCAGTTCACTAAAAGAGTGAAACCTATTCACCGGACTACAGAACAGTTTCCCTACCCCCACATCTCACCATGCATGACGTTACTGAAGACCTGTTCACAGCAGTTCCTTTTATCTAGTACATCATGTCCAGTCACCAAGAACAATTACAAGATACACTAAAAGGCAAAAAACAGTACAATGAGGCAGCCAGCATCAGAAGCAGACTTGGACAGAATTATCAGACCAGGTATTTAAAATATCTATAGTATGTTATGGGCTCTAAAAGATAAAGCAGACAATATGCCGGAACAGATGGGTAGTGTCAGCGGAGATGGAAATCCTAAGATCAAAAGGAAATACTGGAGATCAAAAACACTGTAACCAATGAAGAATACCTTTGGTGGGCTTATTAATAAGACTTGACATGACTATTGAAACAATCTCTGAATTTGAGGATATCTCCACAGACACCTCCAAAACTGAAAAGCTAAGGGGGTGGGGGGAAAAGACTGCAAAATACCCAAACAGAACATCTAAGAACAGTGGGAACGCTACAAAAGGTGTAACATACACATGAGAACACCAGAAGAGGAACAGAAATATTTGAAACAATTACTTAAGAATTTCCAGTTAATGTCAAAGACACCAAATCACACATTCAAGAAACTCAGAAAATATCAAGCAGGATAACTGCAAAAAACCTTACACCCATGCTTGTCATTTTCAAACCACAGAAAGGAAAAGATGAAAAAAAAATCCTGAAAGAAGCCACAGGAAGTGAATACCTATTGAGGAACAAGGGTAAGAACTGCATCTGATTTCTCAGAAACCATACAAGTGGAGTAGGAAGAGATAGGGTAATAAAATATTTTAAATGTTGAGAAAAACCCCCACCTACCTGGAATTCTATACCCTGCAGTTCAAAAGCAAAGGAGAAACATTCTCAAACTGAAATGGATGGTATTTGTTGCTAGTAGACCTGTCCTTGCAAGAAATGTTAAAAGGAGTTCTTTATAGAGAGGGAAAATGATACAACTCAGAAACGTGATCTACATATGGAAAAGACCAGCGTCAAAGAAATAAGTGACAGTATAAAACTTTTTCTTAAGCTAACTGGTAACAGTTTATTCAGAAGTTGTATTTGACTATGTATGCTTATACATATTCATATTTGTGTGTAAGTGAAATGAACCAGTGCAATGATACAAGGCAATGAATTGGGGTTTTGTTAGTTAGTGTAAGGTACACTACCCGTGGAAGGGTACAGTGTTATTTAAAAGTGGAATTGGACCTGGCCTGGACAAGTCAGACTCTGGGAGCCATTCTGGTTCCTGTCCTTCCTGAAGCCTGCTTCTCTAGCTCTTCCCTCTATTCTGGGAGCCACCCCACTCTTTGGCCTAAGAGCTAGTTTCTGCTCCTTGCAACCAAAGAGCCTAATAGAGCTCTTTCCATGCTTCATGGAAAACAGTTTGGGAACATGTTTATTGTTAGTCCAATTCTTAGTAACCATAAGCATTGTTTTTTTCTTCTTTCCTTTCTTAGAGGGGTGGCTTCTGTAGACATAAAAGGCTATGTGTTACTTTGGTTTTTTAAGAAAACTGTATTTGCTAACAATAACAACCAAAATAAAGTGGATTTGGATTAGTTATATGTATATATAGCAAACACTACAGACAACCACTAAAGTAAAAAAAGAAATACTACTGATTTGCTAAGAGAAAACAATCATATATAATGATCAATTAAAGCCACAAGGCAGGAAAAAAGTGGAAGAGAAAGAACAAAGGCAATGAGAAAAGCTACAAATATGGCAGGTAATAATCCAGCTATGTCAATCACCACTTTAAGCATCAATGGTGCAAATGCACCAGTTAATTTTGACATTGTCAGATGGATCAAAAAACAAGACCCAACTAAAAGCTGTCTATAAGCCCACTTTTAATGTAAATATAAAAACATAGATTAAAAGTAAACAGACATCAAAAGAACAAGTCATAACCAAGATGTCCAGTAGATAAGCAGATAAACCATGGTACATGAGCTATCAAGCCATGAAAAGACATGGAGGAACCTTAAATGCATATTTTAAGTAAAAGAAGCTAATCCAAAAAGCTACATCTTCTATGATTCCAACTATGTAACATTCTGGAAAAGGCAAAACCATGGGAGCAGTGGAATGAATGATCAGTGCTTGTCTTGGGTTGGGGGTTGAGGGAAGAGATGAATAGGTGGAGCACAGGATTTTATACAGCAGTGAAAATACTCTACATGATACTATAATGGTAGACTTAAGGCACTAAATATTTGCCCAAACCCACATGTACTCTAGTTGTGAGTACTCTAATGTTAACTATGGATTTTGGGTGATGTGTCAATGCAGGTTCATTGATGTAACAAATGGAACCACTCTGGTAGTGGGTATTAACAGTGGGGGAGGCCATTCATGTGTGGGAGCAGGGAGTATATGGGAAATCTCTGTATCTTAATTTTTCTGTACCTGGAACTTGCCTAAAAAAATTAAAATCTTACGAAGAAATAAAAGTAGACTGATGGAGAAAGATACACCATGCTAACACCAATCAACAGAAAGCAGAATTAGCTGTAGTTATTTCAGATCAAGTACTTTTAAAACAAGGGAAGTTAGGAGAGATAAAGAAGGGGCATTTCATAAAGAGGGAAGTGCCAGTTATCTAAGACATACCAATTATTAATATGTATGCAGCTAACAAAAGAGCACCAACCTATGTGAGATGAGGCAAAAATGACAGAATCCCAAGGAGAAATATATGAATCCACTGTATTTGGGGACTTCAA